AATTAAGAATGGTAATGCGGGACAGTTTAGAATCAGACACTTTCTTTTGCTTAGAAAGTTAACATTTGGTACAGGAAACGGTACCTTAACGATTCTAGGAAATGATGAATGATAATGAAAAAGATGGTATGCAACCTATGGATTTATAAAGTTATCTGTGTGAAGATATGTTGAATCGTTACCAAAAGCCTAATTTGAAAAATTGTTAGGGGAAATAATTGGGAAAAATGGCGAGATACTTTCAACAGACTTCATAGTTGCTAGAAATTCAATAAAAACCTGTGATGCAAACTTAATGTGATCTTTTTTTCCATACAATCCTTTTCCATGATCAATCATATTCCATATTATCAACATTATAGTTAATAAAATTATAATGAATTGGTACTTTTATGAGATATTTTTTTATTATCGATCTACAATAGAATCTGTAGGAAAAACTAATACACTGTTTTATTTTCACAGGCCATAATTGACTTGCCAAAACTTAAGTAGTTATTAGATATTAGATAAAATGCATAAGATTATAATTCAAACTAAAGTATTTCTTATAAGCGTAACATAAGGTTCAGATTTATAATTACTATAATACTTCTGGAGTTTTTGTCTGCCCTCTTTTTATACTAAGATACAAGATTGATTAGTGCCTATAACAGATTTTCGGGGTTCGTTATAATTTTTTAATGGAAAATATGTAATTGAGTAATAAAAAAACTTACCTGGAATGTTTAATGCTCTGCATTGGGGCCCTCATTACAGACAAATTATTAAAAACTTCTTTAAACTTATTACTACAATTTGTAATGTTCTAAACATATAAATTTTGAAAACTTGTGATGTTATATAATCATTTGAATATATTTAACAAAAGGCAAAGTTTTGCATCTAATGTTAGTAAGGTTTTCTTTAAATCCAGATGCTAAGAACATTAAAAGAAATGAAAACTTTTAAGAAGCATTAAATGGTGAAAATAAGTGAATGTAAAAATTCAGTATTAGTCACATGTTAAAATAAACATAGAAACTCATTTACTAATTTATATACTACACATGTTTGTCTTTATTTGCATCTGGATCTAAGAATAACTTGTATAATAAGTGTTTTAGAAAATGAATGGGATTATAAAATAATTTCAATATAAGGTGGCTACAAAATATCAAGATTAGAGCTTTTACAAAACAATTACGACAGAATTTGTGAAGAAGATCACAGAAGTCTTTTATTACTGTTTCGAATATTGCGAAATTGCATAAAGTATTGTAGGGATAAGCGGGAGTGTTTATTGAGGAAATTAATAATATGTAATTTTAAATTGAAATATTTTACAGCATATTCTTATTATTTTATAACCTACCTCGTAGTACAAGTTTCCAAAAATGACAATGGGAAGTACAAAATAAAACATTCTATGAGTCCATTTCTTGAATATAAAGTAATTGACAAAATTTTGCAAAATATTATTAAAAATATTCAATTGACAACAGAATGCAAAGAAGACAATACTAAGAAAGGTTAAAAGAAAAAAAATTGCTAAAAATTTAACCAAAACCGAAAAAATTGTAATTTTTTTCTAATTTTGTGGTAAAGTAAATGTGGGTATAGTTGACAGTGTACCAGTAGTTGACATCATTAGTTTTGTTTTCATTTTAAAACACATTGGTGTAAGTTACAAAGCTCCAGTCACCAGATGGTTGTAGTCTGCTTATATGTGAAGTTGGCAACATGAGTGTCAGCCATTTTAAAATTGTGTCACTTATGGTAAAGCATGTTACACAGACTATTTTTGAGAAATTCAAGTAGAAAATAAATAGGTAAATAAACTTTTTTTATGTGAATAAACTTATTTTATTTTAGTTTTGTTAAATTTTAATAATTTTAATAGTGCGGGAGGTTGTTATTTAACGTGTTGGGCTTTTTGAAAATATTCTAGGGATTAACCTTAAAATTATTTGTGGTGTGTCAACTACTAAAGCAAATTTTGGCCATTACACCAATACTTGACACTAATGTCAAGTACTGGAGAAGACACGCAGATCTAGGCAAAGTAGATATCTGTTCTTTTTAGTTAGTAATTAGCATTTGTGTATTTTTATTATTCTGGCATTGCCCGAACCCGTTTGTCACACACACATGTCAACTATTGCAACACAATATGTCAACTATAACATCACAGTTTTTTTGTAGGTAAAAATGCCTCCTGTGAAAGGGAAAATGTTAGCTTATCCTGAAGAAGCTATGACAGCTGTAATAAAGGATGTTCACCTTGGGACGCCAATAGCCTCTGCAGCAAAAAGACATCAGGTTCCCAGAGTAACTCTTCTTTACAAGGTGAAAGGAAAAACTCCTATTTCTAGAAGAATGGGGGCCAAAGACTATTCTGACATCTGATGAAGAAAACTTGCTTGTACAATGGATATTAGACTCAGCGGAAGCAAAATTTCCAGTAACAAAAAGGCAACTGCTGGATAGAGTACCAATTATAATAAAACGAATAAAAAGAGACACTCCGTTTGTTGCTGACCGCCCTGGCTGTGCATGGTATGAAAGTTTTTTAAGAAGACAGCCTTGTTTAAAAGAAGAGTAGCACAAAATTTAACAGCTTCCAGAGCCTTAATAACTAAGCACGGAGTAATAAATTCTTTTGATGAAATAACAAATTATCTCTCAAACAAAGATCAACTTCAGATACTACAAAATTCTTCACGCGTTTTCAATGCAGATGAGACTGCATTATTATTTCTGAACCCAAAAGATGAAAAAGTACTGGTTCGTAAAGGTGAAAAAGTGTTTACCAACAGGTTAATGCTGATGAAAAATAATGCATGACTGTTTTGATAACTGCAAACGCCGACGGCGTTTTGCTTCTACTATGCTTGTATATGAATATAAAAATATCCCCACAGAAGTTGTCTATAAAATGCCAAAAGGTTGGTCGATGGGCAAATCTGATAGTGGCTAGATGAATGGAGAGCTATTCTTCGAATGCATAGCAAATACCTTTCATTCTTGAACACAAAACATACAGAGAAATATGAAATCGTAGGCTTCCACGGCCAGAGTCAGAATTATAGTTTATTCGTCTTCCGGGTTTGGGCCGTGTCATTTGTGAGTGACCCAAAAGTTTTGGGTCACTCACAAATGACACGGTCCAAACCCGGAAGACGAATAAACTATAATACAGAGACATGTTGTATTATTTATTGACACACTAGTCATTTAACACTGCATACCAGTGAATTTTCTAGTAAAAGCGGAATAATACTCATAGCATTACACCCCTATTCAACTTATATTCTCCAGCCACTTGACATAGGATTTTTTAAGCCTATGAAAACAAGGTAAAAAGCAATAGCTCACCAGTGGCGTGTAGATAATATTCAATCACCTAATTTAAGAAAAGCTGATTTTGCACCTCACGTATATAAAACTCTTGAAAATTGTGAGAAACAAATGATGAAAAATGCCTTCATAAAAAGTGGTTTAAGGCCTTGGGATAAGAATGCTATAGACTACTCAAAAGTGAAAGACAATTGTCACCAAAATTAAAATGGCTTAGAAGATCCTTCAATACAGTCAATAACTAAAACATTAAATGATGAAGATGGTCCTGCTTTCATGGAAAAGGAAATAGGTGAGGAAAAATTGCTGGTATTAAAATGTCATGAAGATTGGAATGGTCAAGAATAAGACAAATCTTTATTCCTTATGTAGAAAAATGTAACCAGTAGACTTCATCTCATTCCAACAGTACAAAATATAGATGAAAATCACATACTCGAAACTTCTACAGTACCAATAACTGAAGATGCGGTAATGGCTTGTTCCAGTTCCAGTAATGGCAGTAGACTTCATCTGATTCCAGCAGTACAAAATATAGATGAAAATTACATACTCGAAACTTCTACAGTATCAGCAATTGAAGATGCAATAATGGCTTGTTCCACGCTAATAAAAGCACCAGTGTACAGGGGGGTAAAATAAAAGCTTCCTTCTGCAATAAGCTCCGATTCGTATCAAAGGTATTTAAGAAACAAAGAAAAACAAAAAGAAGAAAAAGAAAAGCAGAAAATAAAAGCTGCAGAAAACAGAAAACCAAAAAGCAGAGACAAGGGCATTAAAAGTTAAAAAAAAGAAAAAAGAAGAAGGTTAAAAGTTCTAGCAGTAATTCAGATGAAGAATGGTGGAATCTTGTACCTTCACAAATGATGTTAGTTTTGAGTTAATAACAAGTGAGATAAAGTTAAACTCTGAGCATGTATCATACATTAACGACCAATTAATAAAGAAATTCAGCATTAATGATTTTGTGCTTGTTAAGTTTTTGGGTAAGAAAATAAATAAATATTTTGTTGGCCAGATAATCAATATTTCTGATGAAAAGAAAAATTCAGATGATGCCGATTATAAGATCTCCTTCCTTAAACATGAAGAGGATGGAAAATTTAAGTGGCCTACAGTAGAAGACAAATCACATATTTCGACAAATGATATAATATTTAAGTTACTGCAATCTCAGTTAGATAGAAGAGAACGAATATATTTTAACATTGACTTTAGCAAATATTTTATGTACACTTAGTGTGCTTGGTGAAATTATTCTTCATATTTTTATATTAGTTTAAGTATTCAATGTTAGGAAATCTAAATCATGATAAGTTTTACTCTTCTTTAAAAATGATTTTAAATTTAATGACCATTTTTATTTACATGTCTAAATTAGTAACGTTAACATACTTAACTTTGAAAAATATAATTTCTATTATGTAATGTCAACTACAACTGTACATGTCATTTATTAGAACACTTGTTGTCAACTATTGAACCCCATGCACTTTTTTTTAAACACCTAATAAAAAAATTCAATTATAACTAATGATTATCTGTTAGTTCTAGAAGAAAATATTTTGTCTGAAGAATATCTTGGTAAAAAATTAACAAGCAGATTGGAATTTTCTTTAAATTATATTTAAGTTGTGTAATTTATTAAATTGTCAATTACTCCCACATTTACCTTAAAACTTCAATACATGTGGTAAAATTTATATATTATGTAGTTCATTTTCTATGAGAGTATACAAAAATGGACCCTACTTACTAAAAAAGCATTTTATTCTATTAAGAACAATATAAAACCCCCCTAATTCGAGTTACTCTAAAATATAAAAATCTATTCACATCTTTTTCCCTTCCCATCATCATTTAATTGGAAATATTAAATCCAAACATATCCACCCACAAATTACAAATTCCAGAATTGAAGAAGACGCTCACCCTTCCCAATAGATGCCCCATTGGGCTTTTCAAATTGCAAAACTATCAACTTACTAAACTTTTTAACTTCTCTATCAAACATATCTTCACCTGTTTTATCTAAGTCTTTACTCAAATCCCATTCTACCGAAGGTAGGGGTGTGTTGATGAATTTGGCAGCAGAAGAAACACTTGGTACTACATGGCTTTGTAGTGACTGTATCTCCCATAGAGAACTGATGATGGCGTTTGATTTGACAGGGTCTCTTTCATCCATGATGTATGGGTCAGTATTGGCTGTTATGTGCTCTGTGTTGTTCAGCAGACACTTAAGGCCTGGATGTCTGCAATAAATCACACAAAAATACATATAAGGCATGTAATACAGGATTTGCTTTATTAACACCTTTGATGCGATTACAAAAAACTCAATTATTATGTTATATGCTTACCAGTTGTAATTGACTGGTACTATAGAATTCTGAATATATACACCAGTTGCAATAGACTGGTAGTTCTTAAGAAATGTGAGTACGATCTATCACTAAATTTTTAAAGATTTATGTGTAGTAATAGTTTTATACATACAAGGAATAAACAAACTTGCTGGAAACTGTATCAGTACCAGGTTATTCCTTTTGGTAAAGCAAAAACTGAAATTTTTAAGAAGTGCATAATATTTTCAAGTAAAATAAAACCAAAACTTTTATTGAGAACAATACATATTATAATTACAAAAATAACAAATGCTAATTATTAGTAAGTATAAGTTTTAAAATTTATGCATTGTGTTTAAAATTAAGACATGGTAAACATAAAGCAGGTTTTTCCTCGCATATGCTACATGATGTAGCATGGATGGAGCAATATCAGTTTCTTTACTTTTGATTGTTTCCCTCAGCTTCTTGTAATTCCATACAATTTCGCCTTTTTTGGTACCAGGTACTTCAGGTTTGTTTTCTCGAAACTGATTTTATATTCGTCATTATCTGAATTAGTTGAACATTCATAAGGAACATAATTAGAATCACAGTCCAAATTGTCGATAAATGGTTCTTCCTCTGATTCGCTCAAAGTATTTATAATTGTTATTTGATGCCGGTCCAATTTCTGATTGGGGTCTACACAACTACCACTTGTAGTTGCATTTTGCTACATTTGCAACAGTGCTACGCATTTTACTCAATTATAAAAATATTTTAAACACTATTATGGCTCGACCGAGATAACTAAACTTATTAAACTAAACTAAACTAAATTGTTTTAAAAAATCACTACACAAAATTTCAACCTCTGTAATAATATAAAATTAATTTATTATTTCATTAACAAATTTTTAATAAACATTAAAAATGTTCCTTTACTTATAACATTTATTTAATATAATCATATTTAAAATAAACAAATAGAAAAATAACAATAAAAAGACGACTTACGAAAAATTTTGTACATTCTGTAGTCATTAGCTGCTTTGTTTTGAATAATTTTGCAATGAAAGTATGTTAAATGTTATTATTTTAACGTTGTACCCCAGTTAAAAAAAAAAGAGCAAATTTGGTCCGGTAGAACCCGAGATATGTGATTTTTTTTCCAAGCGTTCTACTTTGAAACCACGCTCTCGACTTTTTTGGAGAGCACGGCTTGTGTGCAATCGGCTATCCCCACTCCTTCCATTCTAGTCGAAACGCAAAGTACTCTTGGTTTACAGCACTTCTGTTTAAACAATTTTCAATTATTTTGTTTGCTAAACATTTTGTTAAAAACCTTGACTTTTCTTCTAAAAGATTGGTTAATTTCAGCCCTTAATGTTGTTAATTGACGTAACAGTGATTAAAAAAAAGGACTAACTTGGCTCCTAATGGTTGCAGGACTTTTTTTTTAAGTTGTGTTTTTTAACCAGCTTTCTGAATATTTTATTGCCATTTAATTTGAACTAAATAGTACAGAGTTTTTGTAAATGTTTATAAGCTTAAAAAGTGCTATTTATTGTTAAATCATTTAGTGTGCATAAACGTAATTTTTTTTAACTTTTTTTCCATAGAATATTAATGTATGTCTTAATGAAGAAAATAAGCCCCGGATTATTAAGATCCATTCAGTCAAATTATCTGGACCGGCCTTAGAAATTTGTGCATTTTTCAAAAAATCTTATAGACAAATTAAATTGTGCAAAATCTATTAGACGGATCTAGCCTATCTTTCGCACACACTTCGAACACAATGAGATCTTTAAGTTCAGATACATTTTAATACATTTTAATGATTAATAAAAGAGTTATTAACAATAATCAAAAACAGCTGTTTTGCTTGGTTATTATGCAATAACTTTTTTGTTTATTAACCGATTTTAATTTAGTATATCTCATTTTGTGTATTTTTTTTCCTCAACAACTTGTCTGTGGATGTCAAATCTCTAAATAGACAAGTTTATAAATTATGAGCAAAATAATGAATTTGATGTTTTAATTGTTTATTTAAAAATAGTTCCACTGAAAAATTCATGAATTCCTAGATGAGAGTCGTTTTGTAATATCTCATACTACCCATTTCAACTGTCAAACTCATCTATAGACTTTTGATGAGTAAAAAACTAACTTAATTGGCCTATTATTTAATTCTATTTACCTTTATTTAATCTTATTTAGTTTTATTACTATTATTAGTTTTAATTTTATTTTATTTTACTTTGGTAAAGCGTTGACATTTGTTAAACTTTATTTTATTTTCATAGTAAGTGTATATTTATCTTACCCAGTGCGATATAATAAATATACATTATATGTCATTGATCTTACCTTACAATTACAGTAACCTATATTTATAGCAATTTTCAAAAAATTTAATTAATTCAGATTTCTGTGTTCAGATGGCGTTAGGATTTTATATCTAAAGTAACACAAAGCTTTAAATTATTGTGTATTAAATTCTACCTTAAAAATATTATTAAAATTAATTATTAATTATATTAATATGTAATTAATACAGTATTATTTATTAAATATATCATGTATCATTTCAAGAACAAAATATGATTGAAATGTCAAATGGTGGAAGTTCAGATTTCTTTCCTAGATGGCGTTGTTAGTTTATTGGACAAACAGTGTGACTCGTCATCATAGCCTTTTATATAGATAGATACTATGCAAAGAATCAAGAAAGAATGTGTAGTTGACCTTTACATGTCAAAATATTTTCTTTATTATTTCAATTGCTCAAGATTTATTAATATATTAAGTCAGTAGTGATGGGCGAAATGACTTATTTGAATGTTTCGAATCATTTGAATTAACTCACTGTGATGTTTTGAAACAATGATTCGAAACATTGAAACAATTGACACATTCTACCCGATACTGTAACTTCATATCATAACAACTCATTTTGGGTTGCTATGCAAAGATATATTTCGTGCAGACTGCCGATTCATTTTCTGTAAGGCACGTGACAGCAATGTGATTGTTAAAGCATTGTGAGGATTTCTGAACGATTAGGGATTTGAGCTTGTTAAGCACAAATTTATTGTTTTAGGTCTTAGGTGTAGGTTAAATATGTGTAGTCTGGTTTTATTTAGATTTTTTTCTCGGTGGTATAGATCTTCATTGCCATTTTTAAATAAATACTTATCATTACCAGAACGAAAATAGGTACGTGCTAGATGGTATTATTTACATTAAATACTTTGAAATAAAAATGACATTTCATTATTACAGACTGTAATATAGAAATTTTTAACATTTTTAAAGATAAAAACAACTTAACCTTTATATCAACTTAAAACAACTGTGATCGTTTCAAACTTAAAATCAGTCAGCAGTTAGCCACTTGTTCTTTAAGTTTTAAAATTTTTCCGACTACTAACACAATTGATTTACGACTAACAGCACAGCAACAAGCAACACAGTATATACCGAACAACGAGACAGTCGACGTGATTTTTGGAGTAGACACGATGACACGTACTGACTCGATGTTTCAAAACAGTAAAGATTTACGACAAACAGCACAGCAACACAGATGGCAACACAGTATATACCGAACAACGAGAGAGTCGACGTGATTTTTGGAGTCGACACGTACTGACTCGATGTTTCGAAACAGTAAACGTTTAATGTACCGAAACATTGAAACAGTTCTGTGACTCAACTCATTGCTTCGAAACATAGACTCACTAGCCAACACTATAAGTCAGGTCTGGAAATTCTTGGGAAGACAATCATTTCAAATAAACAGAAAAATCTGCAAATATTTTGTTTTATATAAAAATGAATAATTCTTATGTTTTAAGACAACTTACCTCAGAATTAGGTTTCCTATGAAATGGCATATAATAATGATGTCCTCTGAAGGGGCTATTAAAGCCAAACGAGCCATTCTTTTGATAAAAGCTGCAACCAGGTTCTCAGGGAGATGAGTGGAGCTGAGGAACAGATCTGATAAGTAGAATAGACGAGCTTTGTATTTAGTATGAAATATTTCTGGTTCAAACATTGAGTAGAGCTTGATAAAGATGTTTGGATAGTCTAAGTTGTGTACCTACAATAAAACATTTCATTCAGTAAAACCTTTTGTTTTTTTTTAATCACTAACATTCATATTCACCTAATATTTATAAAGTGTGAGAGAATAACACCAAGAAAAGAGGTTTAAATTAACATTTATGTTCACAAAATATAAATTATAAATTTCTGCTAAAATTTTTTACATGAATCCAAAAAAATCTTACCTGAATCATGGTAAATATGCCTTGTAGAGCTAAAAGACTGATAGGACCTCCTACATCCAAAGAATCCATCAAGAAATCAGTGAGCAGTAAAGGTCTCTCCAAGTGAGTCAAAACTCTCTCTAATAATACTATCAGCATCTGCTTGTGTGTTGGTGGTGTATGATCCCATTGCATGACACAATGCCAAATTTTATTCAAACTTTTTATAGGAACTGATTCATCAAATGTGAAGAACATAACTAAAAAGCAAAAAAGATATTACAACATTTCACAATAATGTATTTAGTATTTAATCCAATCCAATTAATTAGATTAGGTACTATAAATCTGAAACTAGTTACCATTTTCTTCTCCACATAAAATTTTTGTTTCCAAGTTTTGGTGAACTTGCAGTTTTTCAAGCAACAGTAAATAGTTCATGATATACACCTCATTAGGTTTTGATTTGGCAGTTAAAGATGGGAATATCTTCCAAGTAAAGAATAAAATATCATCAAACAACAGATATTCTGTATATTTATTAATCAGATGTGCATTATTTTGTTTGTTTGAAAGAATTTTCATTAAGATCTGTTTTAATTTGTGCAGTGGTACATAGTTGTCAAAGGAATCTTTTGTTTCTAATGGGAATCTTCCTTCACAAGACAGCAAATTCATGGCTGTTGATAAACCTATACAAAAATAATACTCTTAGTACATGCGATCGCTCAAAAATACACGGAAAACAGTAATACCTAATTCCGTTAAATTCTTACCTTGTACTTGTAGTTTATGGGAGCCATTTTCCATTGTAGCTAAAATTTTAACAAACACATCTTCATAAATATTCCGCAACCATTGTTTATACCGGTTCTCTTGGGTATCTGTCATGGGCTTCAGAGGTACAATTTCCACAAACATCTCCCTATCCTTTAGAAGAGTCGAAAATACTAGTTCCAAAGTTAGTAAACATGATTGTTGATCCGATCCAGAAGAAAAATTTTGCACAATTTCATGCAAAATATCGCTATTTTTCCTATTAGCCAGGAATTCTTGGGCTCGTAACCTTAGCTGCTTTGATATCTTCATTGGTTTTTCTACATGAGACATCTCCTACAATAAAAATTTACGCAGCAAAATATTAATAATAAATTCCACAAGATAGGTTAACAAGACTTTAACTTTAAGAGAAAGAATTACGTGAAGTTAGTTACTAAAGTCAAACAGAAGCAGAGCTTCTTCTTTTCTATTTTTGTCTCACTTGACAGCTTTCTGTCAGTGACGGGGACGACCCTTTTCTTTCACGAATATAATAAATAAAATATTTATTATCCATTACTATTATTACTATATTCTTAAATTACAATAAAGTTCAATAAAATTACCGATATTTATTATTATTTCTGGTTTTACCCAATTTTTTTTCAAATATGTCTGTACCGAGTTTACGGAATACGTATACATAGATAATAATCTATTGTTTAAAATACTAGTCCTTCCAACTCTACATAAAAATACTTATAGAAAAAAAGTTACCTCGAATTATATTACATTATATATATATATATATATATATATATATATATATATATATATATATATATATATATATATATATATATATATATATATATATATATATATATATATATATATATTATAATAAAATAATTATTTTATAAAATGCAACAATTTAATGTTAACGCAGCATCTACATAAGAGGACAACTAAAGTTGTATTTGTTGCCCCACTCTTTCATATTTTAGAAGCAGTACTAGCATTATATTATATATCTATTATAAAATATAATATTCATATTATAATTCAAAAAATATCATTCATCAAAAATATAATCCAATATCATCAATAATAAAATTCAAAAATATCATATTATATTATTCCTATCAAAAACTAGTTTTGGACGACCCGGATTTTACCTTTTTTATCTAACGTACTTTATTATGAGGATTATATAACACAATATTAAGTATGTTTTGTGATTAAATATCATTTGAAATATTGCTTATCCAGAATTATTATCATCACTTTTAAAAAATAATAAATTAACTAGAAAATAATAAACGTTTAATAAATGTATTCTCAAGAAACTCGAGCTAAATGCTAACAAAAAGTTTAGGTTGGTTGCCTACATTTGGCGCAACCTAACGATATAAACTAAATCAAAGTAGCCTCGTATTTCCGTGAGACTGTGCAAAAATTTAGTTATCTGTAATAAAATCATTCAATAAAATAGTAGTCTACCAGGAGTAAGTAAAATTATCAATGACTCAGACGTATAATAATACAAAGTTTCAAGATTCCACTCGATATTAAACATTCAGACGTGCCTGGTATAATCTTTTAAGATATGAACAGTCAATCAATTAAGTTTTCATCATTACCCCCCTCTGTGGCTCAGTGGTAAGAGCGCCTGCCTTTAAACCTAAAGGTCGTGAGTTCGAATCCCACCTGGGTGGAAATTTTCGTTTATTAAAAAAATTAATAAATGAAAATGATTTCTATCCTTGTGTGATCGGTACACACCGGAGGGACCGCAGACGTTCGGATACAATTAGCGTCTCTTAGCAAAGACAATGACGTCGACTTTGCTAAGTAACAAGACAATTACTCTACACACACACACACAACACACCTCAAATTGTAAGATTGGCGAATGGATTTAGTGTCCGCAGTCATTTAAACACAAACAAAACAAAGTTTTCATCGAACTTATGATAAGTCCACGTGGACTAACGGCCAATGAAAACATCGGATATTGCTGTTATGACAAATCATAATGCCATTATCTTTTGTCGGTAGACTTATTCATACTTGGGGCTTGGGGTAAGATTATATTAGTATTTGACTGAGCTTACGGAGTCATAAAAAAAGGTATCAGGTCTCGACCGTCCAGTGTCGAAGGGACGGAAGGCAAATTTTTATATTTTATTTTTAAATTGCGGATATGACCAACATATTTTTGAGACACAAGAATATTTTTAGTATAATCGTAACTACTACAGCGTTCAACTAAATTCAAATTTCAAATAGTGAACCGCAAGTTAGTTTGATAGTTACTTTTTTTAGTGTTCTTTCTACGGAAAACTTTTTAAATTTTACCGCTGACATGACCGCTCCCTAGTGCTACAATAATGAACTAAAATCTTGTTCAATTGCTTCTTCTTCTCTGTAACATGTGTCATGTGTGCGAGACTAAAAAATGACAGTGACAGTGAAATTTCCATAAATAAAATAAATATTAACATTATAAAAGTTGTGTATTTTTATTTATTTAGAGAACTATTAATAATTTACGTACGATATGAAAATAAATGAAAAAAATCTGTGTGCTTTCGCAGTATCGGCTACTCCAATCGACAAAGAAGGATATTTAAATAAAAGAGGGGAAGTAAATAAAAACTTCCAAAGGCGGTATTTTGTACTAAAAGGAAATCTTTTATTTTATTTTGATAAGAAAGGTGATAAGGAGCCAGTAGGTGTAATAATACTTGAAGGTTGTTCAATTGGTAAGACGATTTTTACCCTAGGTAGTAGTTTTTTTGTGTATTTTGCTATTATTTTAGAATTAGCAGAGGATGATGCCCAGTTTAGTTTCAAAATAGATTTTCATGGAACGAATAATAGGAGCTACATATTGGGAGCAGAGTCTCAAGAGTCTATGGAGCAATGGATGAAGGCTTTGGCTTGCGCTGGTTATGATTATATGAAACTCATGGTTGCAGAACTTCAAAGGCAATTAGATGATGTAGAAGGTATATATTCACATTTTTTACTATAAATACTCATTAGTTAAAAAACAAACAAAAAAGACTGATAACATTTGATAACCCTCCAATTTAGTACTTGCTTATCTCTTATCAGTTAGTTGTAATTTAAGCAGTTTTCTGTATAAAAGTACACCTGTATCTTCAAAACTGAAAATACTAATGGAGAGTCAGATTGATAGTTATGAAAGTGGAAAAAGTACTTTTTATGTGGTTTTAGAAACTCCAATGCCCATTTCATCACCACAACCTGTTGGGTCACCTGTCCCACCACCTAGAACAAGACATAACCCTTTTAATAGACCAGAGAATAACCCCCATCAGAGATCTCATAGTTTAAGGTCTACAGGTTCAGCAGCAAGTAAGTTACTATATGATTTTATTATTTTTTATTTTTTGGAATTTTTGTTTAACAAATACCAAAATTTAATGTTTTCTAATACTCTATTAATATTAAGAGCGGATCAAGAGGGGAAGAACAACACCTGACAGGAGAAGCCTTGGGAAAAATAGTATTAAACAGTTGAAAGAACTGCACTTAGAAATGTGTAGGAATCAATAATTCCAGTTGTAGAGTAATGAGCTCTGAAGCAGTTGGTACAGTAACAAATAAAAAAGCAGTTAGATCTCCTTGCCTAAATCATATTTTAAACAACTTCCTTTTAACTTTTATTAATGTATAGTCCATTACAAATACAGTTGGAACAATGAAGTCAGTATTATCATTTTTTAACATGTCATCCAAGAGAAATGAAGTTTTAAAACTGAAACTCAGGCGAAATTTAACAAGTTTTTGCAAAACAAGATGAGTTGTGTGCCATGGAAGTGTAATCCAGTTCATATCTGGCATTTTACATATAATTAAAACACTAACATCTATCTCAACATCCTAGGATTCCAAGACTGCTACACTTGCATCAACTTTGCTTATCTCTTTATTCACATCTGAGTTTGTAGTGTCAATGATGTCACTGATTGACATACTAACAGTCAGTTCCACAATCAGTGGTTAACCCTAGGGGTTAAGTAACCTTTACCCCTAGTTTAACTGACAGATGCTGTTTCACAATCACAGATTTGGTTATGGTCACTTAACCTTAGATTTCGTTTTATTTTTCTTATGTGGGTAGGAAATTGTGGGCAATAATCAGATTTTTATAAAATATTGTCAGTAAATATTATGGACATTGTCCAATATAGATGAGTTATGACACATTTGTCATGTTAGATCGAAAACAATATACAAATATTATTCTCATTTTCAAGTTCTGTTCTAGTGTTCTGTTCTAGTTCAAGTTAAAATTAAAATTATAAAATGGAACCCACAAAAATATTCAAGAGATCAGCAAACTTTTCGCCAGAAGAGGAACAATTACTTATTTTCTTATTTATTCAAAATTTCAATTCAATTCAAATTCAATATTTATTTCAAAATATTATTACTATATTTTGAAATATAAAAATAAGAAAGTGTACCTTCAATTTTCTCCAAAATATTTTCAACTGTGTTCTTTGAGAATCTAAACCAACAGAAAAAATCTTCATGGTCTAGTTCTTCAAAATGATTTGTTTTGTGCCTAATGATTCTTGGTCTGCTAGCTTCCTCATCATTGCTAAAAGCATTTACATAAATAAATCTGATTAATTCATAATTTACGTGTCTGTTTACACTCTGTCAATGTCAACAAAACAAAATTCGAAATTAGGTTAGGATATCCTGGTCAAGCTCTAAACCACCGCTTTTACTTTGGCTTAAAAATTTTGTAGGTTAACCACAACCCAAGCTGTTGACCTTATATTGTGAAACCTATATTTCAGGGTAACTGCTGGTTATCTCTTAACCGCAAGGTAACTTTACTTTTCGGCCATAAAATTAACATTGCCACTAAGCTGACTTCTACAAACAAAATCTCTTAATGCTTACCTAGGGACTAAGGCTGCTTCCAATAAGATGTCAACTTTGAAAGATAGAAGATCTAACTGGCAAGAAAGTTTTAGTAAGATTGCATCCTTTATCATTGTATTTGTCAATATTAATTTCTAACATTTTTTTGTCAAGGTAGTTCAATAATAAATTTATTTACCCACAGAAAAATCGGTGTCTTGTAACATGTCTTGTTCCGAAGTAAAAAAGCCATCTCGTCCCTTCCTGTAGAACAAAATGCTGGAAAAAGTACTGGACTGGACGTCCCAAACTTTACCAATATTATTCGCTTTTTATTTATGCTATTTTAATTTTATAAACTAATCTACATATCTTTCTTTGCACTTGTTTTACTTCATAAGGTTTTAGGTTGAAATTTGCTGATTTTTCGTTTCTAGACAAATAAAGTTTTGAATGTCCTTAAGTCAATCAAAAGCCTTAAAATTCATCATTTTAAACCGAATTTAAAAAAAAAATCCCCAGACCTCCCGGCATCCCTCTAAAAAAAGTTCATGGCCCAAATTTTTCAGCATAATGTATTTTTTTTTAAATTTTTTATATTTATCACAAAACATAATAATGTTTGGTGTAGTTTTGAATGGATTATTCTAACTACACAATTTTCTTTATTTGAGCTACCTATTTAAATATTTATTTATATATTTTTTCAATAAAATCTGTTTTTAGGTCGGTTGGGTGAGAACAGACTCTCAGACAACAATGCAGCATCATCTTCATCTTCAAAAATAACCATAACCTTCCGTGAACTTCACAACTCGTATGGTAGGCCAATCTTAAAAGACTACAACTACTGGAAGTATGAACAGAAGGAAAAATCAGATACTACCGAAAATCTAATATCTTTTTAAAGATGCCCATATTAGAAATGTCCTGTAAAATATCTTCATTCAGAATATCAAGAAATGTGATAGGATGGGGGTTATTCAATAATTGAAACTGAAAGTTGAGGTTATTTCATCATATACCTATAAATAATATAATTAATATTTTTGGCATTCGCAGAAAACACATTTCTGATTTAGTTTCATTTTATATTATATATTAAATTTTCAAGGAAATATCAACATTTTGATCTCCTGCAAAAAGCAGGAATTAAAAGTAAATACCAAATACTAAGTTTTTACTATATGGTATAAGTTCTTATTATACTATGTGTTCTTTTTTAAATTATATTTTATTAAGTTCTGTTTTTATTGAAGATTTATGTATAATTCTGATGACCAAATATTCTACTATGTAGTGGTTTTATCAGTAAACTTCTTTTTAGTTTTTTTTTTTATTTTGCATTTTGGATTCCCAAATTAATTATTTCGTTAATAATGCCATTTCAGACTGATTATTAATATAGATTTCAATTTCATAAGGGTAGAAATCTTTTTGTAATTGTCATCTTAATTTCGCATATTAAATAAGGGAAAAAGTATTAAATGGAATTATTTCTTATATTTATTGTTGTATATATTGTACTATAAATAGTTATTTAATAATATAAATGTATTTATTTTGGATTTTTACAATGCACAAAAAATATAATAATTAAAAATTTATTTTTTTTAATTAATCACCTAATTTATATATATATATATATATATATATATATATATATATATTTATACAAGGTACGTTGTGACCTCATTTCCGGATAATCAGTATACGTTTTCTCCTCATATATAACGTAGTTACCTCCGATTTCGGAGGACACAACGTTTTGCCCATTTCCTTTCGCATGCATTATCACTGATGACGTACAAGTCCATTAACAAAAATTTTTTTTGAGGTAAGTACGACACCCTTACGTTCCTAAATTACGGTTTTAGTTTGAGCATATAAGTTTGGCGCTAGCGTCGTTATAAAAGGATATATTAATCGGATACGTACAATGCGAAATGTCCTCCGCTATATATAAGGCGTGTTCTTTCCTCCAAGAATTGGCAACGTCTAATTCTATTTAGACAACCTTCTTCAGTAGTCATAACAAGAACAAGTTTCAATTTTGCTTTTGATTTGATGGTGTTTGGTTATAAACAGTTCGCTGTGTCCTCCGAAATGACGTCAAGAAGCCAGTTAATGGTTCAACTTGCTACTTGTTCAGGTAAGTGAGTAAATCGTATTATTGATATTTTAAGTAAATATTTCGTACGGTGCCTGTCATGTCACAAGGAGTCTATCTTAATTTTAATCAATGAAATGAGGTTGAATACTCGAATAAATGAACTTTGAAAATAAGGCTATTATCGAGCACAAAATAATTAAATCAAGCCCAAGTACTTTCGCTTATAATAGCATCTTCAGGGGCATTTCGTCAAAATAAGATCTATCCAGCAAGCGTAGGAAGTTGAAACATTAAAACTAACATAAATTATACAAAACACTACACTAAAACGAGGACAAACAGTTTAAAATTGCTTCTACGCTACATTCTCTGTCAGTTTCTGGAGGGATAATGATCCCATTATCCCTCCAGAAACTGACAGAGAATGTAGCGTAGAAGCAATTTTAAACTGTTTGTCCTCGTTTTAGTGTAGTGTTTTGTATAATTTATGTTAGTTTAATGTTTCAACTTCCTACGCTTGCTGGATAGATCTTATTTTGACGAAATGCCCCTGAAGATGCTATTATAAGCGAAAGTACTTGGGCTTGATTTAATTATTTTGTGCTCGATAATAGCCTTATTTTCAAAGTTAATTTTAATCTGTCCGTCGTTACCCCATAAAGCGATAAATATTAAAATTTAGAATTGGAATCTTAGTAATATCTAATTTCATTTTCGATCGTCTTACTTTTTGGTTTCATTAATTATTTATATGAAAATTATTACTCACCATTTGTGGTGAATATTTTCATAGAAATTTAATCCCTGTCATAAAGGGTGATTCGTTGGGAAATACTTATACGCTAGAGGTACACGGAACACCGAAGTGTTTCCAAAGAACATATTTTATATTTCATGAGTCTCAGTTTTTTATAACCAAGATACAGTGTTATTGTTTTATTTACCACTTTTTTATACCTAGGTACACTACAAGTATTTTTTATCTGATATGATACCGAACAGATGGTTTCAAAATAACCTCTATTTATTGGGGCTTATGTTCTTTATAATTAATTTACAGGGTGATTTATTCGTTGTACTCATTTCTTTAATTCTTCATATCTTACAAATACCACTTTTTTTCATATTCACATTACTATTATCAGGTTTATAATCGCTCCTAATGTTTACTCCCAATCATAATAACACAAAACAATAGGATTTATGCACCTGTTTTCAACCACCTATAACATGTTTCAATTCATATAAAGTCTAATCAGGCACACTATTTGGAAGCAGGCGCATAATTCCCAAATTATTGACGTATTTATTACATAGAGAAAATAACGTCTTCTTTCCTTATTCGGCAGAATATAGTCATATTTATTCTATAATTCCGGCTGTTACGATGCTGATTTTTAAAGTTCGTACCAGCAAAGAATACACCAACGTCGCGCGTCGTTGGTGTATTCTTTGGTACCAGCTACTTGGAGTCTATGTCGCGGTCTTATCGTCTCAGGTTTTTGAGAACCAACTATAACTTAGATTTATATTTTTAGTTTAATCATGAGGGACTCGATTTGAATCTGTCTAGTTGATTAAAATGCATTGTTTACGGAAATATCGAAGATATTTAAGGTAGTTTAATTCTTCCTGTTTTTGTTTCAAAATGCGAACACAACTTCTTGTTGATGTGTTGAAGTGATATACATATGATTTTTTAAGTCTAGACCTAGGTTCCAGTTTTCATTAGTACGACATTTAATATCAGAAATAATATAGTTAAATAATGTAACAAATATGAAAAATAAAACACAGAATGATTACAAAGAGGAATTAAAGAATTTGCACTAAATAAGAGGAAGTCATATCAGTGTCCATAACATACATGTACATTTTATTTATTATGGATTCATGTTAATGACGGGAGCAACCATTAGATTTGTCACCTGATCAGGTGAATCCCTATGTTACTCAAACTAGAGACAAATAGAGAGATTTTCACATAGAGACTATGTGAAAATGCCGAAGACATTTAAGGTCACGTAACTTTATCTGCCGTTTTAAACATACAAACTTTCAAAATTCCAATACATGGTTTGTTGTTTACGTCGTTCGTACGATACGAGGAATTAAAGAATTGATCAAAATAAATACCTTGCCCTATATCTTGGTTATAAAAGACTGAGACTCATTAAATATACGTTATTTAAAATTGCCTCGGTGTCTATCTACTCCTAGCGTATATGCGTTTCCCAATGAATCATCGTATATTTAAAAAAAAAATTTGTTTGTAGAAAGTAATGTGAGTAAATTGGGTAGTTCTCAATTACCTCATAGAAAAAACGAACGTTTACCAAAGGACGCTAAACAAAAGTCAGAAAATATTTGGTATGAAAACAGTTGTTTAGAAAAAGTAACGGTGAGTTTCATATTTATAACTATTTTAAAAATGCTAAATTTTGAATTAGCTGCTAACGTAATATTTAATGAAAATCTTAGCGATACCTATCTTCACATATTTGTATTTTACTTTTGTAGGAATGGGTTAAAAATACAGATTTTGATGATTACTTAATTTATGATGAAAATGTACCTCGGCCAGTAAGTCAAAGTTTCCTAAAAGATGAGTCGAATTATTATAATAATAAAGACAAAATAATTGCCCCACTTCGCACTTTTAACAGGAATAACTATTTGTCGAAACAACGGAAGGGTAGATTTATTTCAAATTCAAATGTTATGTCCGGGGGTCAACTTAATAGCGAACTAAACATACAATGCAAACAAAGGACTATTGGTAATCTCAAAGTAAGTTTTTTTGTTCCATATTCAAGTATTTGTCCATATTTCTTATTTTTACTTAAAACTGCAAATCTAAAAGACATTGTAGTACTCGCATACCCAGTAGAAAACATTTCATATGAATAAGACTCACACCCTGAAAAATTTAGAAATAATATCACATCTATTTCTACAAAAGTTAATGTAAGGTATGGTCTAGGATGTAAGGTCTCTCTAAAGGTAAGGTCTCTCTAAATTAGAGTCACCCTCTTCTTCTTTCAGTACCCTGTCCGATTATTGAACGTTGGTGATCATATTGGCAATAATAACTTTGTTTACGGCGGCTCTAAATAAATTAGCGGTGGTCTCTTGATACCATTCTCGGAGATTTCGGAGCCAGGATGTTCTTCGTCGGCCTGGGCCTCTCCTTCCGGCGATCTTACCCTGTATTATGAGGTGTAGAAGGTTATACCTCTCTGGATGTCTCATTACATGACCGAAATATTGTAACTTTCGAATTTTTATCGTTTTTGTTATTTCTGTGCTAGAGTCACCCTAATGATATCCAATCTCCGATAGGAGAGACACTCAAAGAAGAACAAGATGGTCTAGGATTTTAAGCTTTATTTGGATGCGTTTTAGGTGATATCCGATATAACGTTAATACCTGGTGATCGAAGTTTGATAGATAAAAAGGAAATGTACGACCCATATCAATTTAATTCAGATAATGAATTCGGTGATCCACAAGAAAAAGATTCCAAAACACTTGATACAGGTAGTGATATTAAAAACCGAGACAGCTTTAATAACGTTATAGGCGATCTCCTAGGTGATACTTTAGAAATGTGCTCAGAAACCACGACTGAAATTTTGCCATCCACATCTAATGGCGAAAGAAACATAGAATGCCAGTATGCGGATATTTGTTATCCGGATGTAAGTTTTATTCGATATTTAAATATTTTTTTGTAATTTCTATTTTTATTTAAGACTGCAAACCTAGAACATAGTGTAGAAATATTAGCAGAAAAAATTGCAGATCAACTGGACGACCGAGACTCTGAACAATTTCCAAATACTACCACATATATTTCTACAAAAGTCGATGTAAGGTTAGTTATCTATGTAGCTAATTTAAAGCTTTATTTATCTACGTTTTAGTTGATATCCAATGAAACGACAATGCCTGATAAAAGCGGTTTGAAGGATAAAGAAGAAACGTATAAGAAGCCATATCAGTTTCAATCAGATAGTGAATATGACGATTTGCGTGATGAAGATTACAAAATACCTGATACAGATAGTGATACTGAAAGCCAAAGCAGCTCCGATAACACCTTAGATGATGTTCTAGGTGACACTTCAGAAATGTGCTCAGAAATTAGGACGACAATTATTCCATTCATCTCTGAAAAACTAAAAGTGAAGTATTTTGTTTTTTTTGTGAATATATTTCAAAAGGAAAACCTGTAATCAAAATATAAAATTAATTATATGTATTTACGTCGGAAACAAACTTTTTTAAATTAATTCTCTCAAAAAGTAGCTTACTGTCATGAACCATGTAATAAGCATCCATGTACGCACTAATGTATATTATAAGTATAAGTCCACTAACAATACTATGACTATGATACAGGAACTTACTTAAGCTAATTTTGTTCCGATGAATAGATACTATTTTGAAATATGGAGTTATCTCATAATTGACGTTTAGTAATTGATTTGTATTTTGTAGGAAAAAAAGGACTATATGAAAAAGAAAATTCGATGCAAATTTTGCAATCAAGATTATGATACAAAGAATTTTACTAGACATATAGAAAGGAAACATGCCTGTGAAGGTGAGGTAAAACATATTTTAAATTTGCCTAAAAATAGCAAGGAAAGAAGAATTGCATTTTGTTTATTAAGAAATAGTACGAACTTTGATCTTTTTATCAAAGGAGTAACAAGACCAAATCGAAAAGTAGATAACAAAAATGAAGTAGTCTATTACCCGTGTGCCCACTGCAAAGGTTTATTTGTTAAAAAATACCTAAAGCGTCATTCAAACTCTTGCATTATAAAGCGAAACCGAACAAAAAGTAATAAATGCAACCATATTTCTAATTCTCAAACTGTTATAGCGTGCGCAATGGACGCAACTAATGTTGTCTCCCAACTTAATGTTAAACAACAGGTAAGCTACAAAAAATAAATAATATCCCTAATCTTGTTATGGTTTTTGCTCGCAATATACCACAAAAGTAACGAAATTGCTTTTATCACCGTCCACTAAAAAAATTACATAAGAACATTTTACATTTGCATTTTTATAAGTAGATCTATTTTGCATACTCCTTGTACTTACGGCAGTATTTTTTTAGGTTTTTAATATAATGAAAGGTGATGAGATAGCGTTTGAAGCAAAAAAAGATATTCTTATAATACATTTTGGAGAATCTTATTTAAAAAAGCATAAAAAGGAAAACATCGCCTATTCTTGTAGTAACAGGATGAGAGAATTGTCACGGCTACTAATTTCTTACCGGAAATTAGCCAATAATTCCCAGCTATCTCTTAAAGATATACTGTTTCCAAAAAATTTCGATATGATCATATCTGCAGTAAGAGATATATCTGGCTATGATCCGATTAAAAAATCTTTTACATCACCGAGTTTAGCAATGCATTTAGGCACATCACTCAAACAAGTTTGCGAAGAATTAATGCATCTGATTTTAAAGGAGTGTAATGGTTTTAAATGTGAGTCACCAAATGATTCTGCGATTCGGTTAAATAATATAAAAAACCTTAAAGAACTTATTCAAAGTCGATGGAATATTGAGCTGTCATCTTTAGCAAATAAAGATTTACATGAAAAAAAATGGAATAAACCTCTTTTATTACCGTTGGTGAGTGACATAAAAAAATTTAGAGACGAAGTTTTCAAAATATCTTATGAATGTGAACAGAAGTTTATTAATAATGAAGACGACCAAAATACATATAAATTATTGGCACAGTGCTCACTAGCACTATTAATTCTTTTTAACCGCCGAAGAATAGGCGATGTGCAGTTTCTGAAAGTCAAAGATTATAATGATGACCGTAAAACAAATTTTGCCGACTTCGAAAATGCACTAACAGAAGTTGAAAAGTTATTAACCAATAAACATAAACGTGTCGTAAATAGTGGAAAAGGTTCAAGAGCAGTAGTTATTCTAGTACCACAGGAATTACAAAAATTAATTGGAACATTGCTGAAACACCGGGAGAAATATCTTGCAAATGATAATGAATATGTTTTTGGCTTACCGGAAAGTTCCATAAAATGGGGAAAAGGTGACGTTGCATTTAGAAGACTTACACATATGATTAAGCTAGAAAACCCAGACGCAATATCCAGCAATAAATTAAGAAAACATATTTCCACAGTGATGCAAATATTTAGTATGTCCAAAGATGAAATAAAACAATTTTCTAACTTCATGGGACATACAGAAAAAACGCACCATGAATTTTACGAGTAAGTTTCAAAGATTGTTTTTTGTTTTCTCCAAATTAAATTTCTCCTTGTTACTAAGATTACATCATATTGTATTTATTTTAGACTTCCGGTGGATATTTATCAAACAGCAAAAGTGTCGAAAATATTGTTAATGATGGAGAAAGGATCGTTGCCATTAGAATATAAAGGAAAATCGCTATCCGAAATAAATTTTGATTTTAATGAAGAATGTGTGTTGGAAGAGGAAATAAAAGGTAAGATCAGTTTGCCACAAAATAAGATACAAAGACTAATTTTATAAATTTTAGATAATGGCGTTCTCAATACGACCCCAACCATAAAGACATCACATAAACTGTCAATGACCACAGATAATCTGGAAAATTTAGAAAACACGTTGGCAGGTAACATATAAATGCGCAACGCATACGTTTTTAGTGAACCATACTTGGTTTTATCTAATGTTTATAAAAGATTGATGCCAATTTACTTGCCATTGTAGTTTCACAGAGAAAACACATGTTATAGCGTGTTAATATTAAAATGTGATTTTTATCTAGTTAGAATAGTTTTTAGTAACAAATACCTACAACGCATGTCTAGCACTGATAGAATTATTGTAAATTTTTAATTTATTGTGAATTATTGTGATTTTGAGTTTGAGGGTAGATTTTAAGTTTAGTTCGGGTTAGTTTTTGTACTTAGGTTTGGTTTTTAAATTCAGGGGTAGTCTTTTGTGCGCCAGACAACTATTCCCTAAGGAGGAGTTGTTTTATTAGTGACATTTTAACATGTGTCAATGTGACAGATACTATGAAATAGCCGTTATAAATATTGAACTTTAAAATATAGCAATAATTCGCATTAAACCCCAATAGACAACCTCCTTATATGAAACTTCATTATAAAGCTCTAGGCTTCACCATAATTTTTTTTGTATAAAGTATACCCTTAATTTGCATATTTTTTAAAAAAATTTGAAAAAACCGTTTTTTCCAAAAATGGTGGAACCTATAGGGTTTACCACGCAAAATTAGGTTCTGCTGTTTTTGTAAAACATGAGTGAGTTACACACATACAGACCGACGGATTTTTTTTTGATTTCTCGTTTATATATGGTCTGATAAATGTATGGTTGTTAGATTTTACACAATCGGTATAACTTCACTCTGTGAAACTAATTAGTGTTTAAGTCTACAGAAATCATGACAATTTAAGTAATATTTTCAACATAATAGTATACTCTAATAAACATTGTTAGATAACTTTCGCATTGTGATTAATATTTACTGTAGATTTTTAAATTCCCATAAGTCGAATTTCTTACTATTTATACTAATTATTATAGTAGTCTTATTTTCCAAAACATCCCTAGTCTAAATTATTCAATGAAATTGGTAGCACTACTTCATTAAAATCTACTACTTATACTGAGTTCTTATAAAAATATGTTGGGTTTGACTTCCCTTTTTGGTTTATCACATAAAATAACTAAAAGTGGATTTTAAAGTTTTCACTGTCGATATGTAGGTATCCGTTACTAGACCGAACCTAAAACAATATGATATTCTGAAAACGTTTAGGTACTTTTATGAAGAATGCTGTATGGGCCTGCGTAGCAAATCCAGACCCAAACTATTTATTATTTTAAGTTTCGAAGGCTTTAGTTAAGTTTAGTAAGACTTGTGTAAACCTGAATTGCGTTCGCCTTTTTAAAATTTTAATACAATATTTATTTTTAGAATCACAACATCACGCAGTAAAAAAACCTAAGTTACAACTGGATGACTCCGATACAGAGGACAGACCAATGAAACTTAAGAAAAAACGTAAATTAATATTAGTATCATTAAGACGAGAATTTGCATGTCAGTTTAAAATTCCCAGGACCATCCCAAATCTTATTTTGTAAATCTTCCTAAATCTGTAAATAGTATTGCAATTTAACAATCTAATTTTACAACTGTTTTAACACAATCATTGAATAACATTCAAAAACTTCTAAGGGGCAATGTGATAAAAATGATTTAACACCATTTACTTTTAGGTTGGTCATCTGCAGAGATAAACGTTCTTAAAGATGAATTTAAGGAATTCATTAACAAGAAAACCTACCCTTCCAGTAACGAAATAAAGGATTTTCTAAATAAAACAAACACAGATCGCTCTGTTGCAGTAATAAAGTCTAAAATTCAGCATATTATTAAAACGCATAAATCTTAAAACAAACCAAATATTATTTCTTTTAGTTCGTAGTAGTCTAAAATTTTCTAGCACATAAAATAGAAATATAAATTTTTTGTGTCAGTTCTTTTGAATAATATACGATATAGTTTTGTTTCTTTTTTTAATTTCCCATAAAATTGCCTAACTATAATTTATTTAACCGACATTGCAAAAAAGTTTACATCTTTTGATGCAAATCATCTTTTTTTTTTTCACATTATAAGAACATTTCGATTTCCGCTGACTTTTAGGTCGCTTACAGACGAACCACTTTTTGAAGTTGAAGTCGGCAGCAAAAAGTCGAGCATTTGTGGTTGTCTGTCGCTACTTGAAGTTGTCATTTAACAACAATGCAAAATGCATTTCCTTTTCACATGGGTCTTTTCTCGACTGCATTATAACTTTTGTCGTCGGTTGTTGCCCCTCTCGCCGCCGGCTGGGTTCTCAATAATTGTAGCGATTCTCTTTTCACACGAAACCACTTTAAAACGCCGGTAGCAGCGACAAAAAGTACAAGCATTTGTGGATTTTTAACGCAGTGTTGACACAAATGGAGCCGTTCTACTCATTACTGCAGTTCAGGCTGAACTTCCTTCTTTGTCTGCGCTTTAGAAGACGGTAAAAAAAGCAATGATTCTTCATTTAAATTCATAATTAATGTGCTTGTACAGACTACAGTTTCTCGCGGCTGTTAACTACAAAAAGAAGTCGATCTGAACTACAGAAAACGCCGATACTAGCGACAAGTCAGCGCTATTTTGCTACCGACTTCGACTTCAAAAAGTGGTTCGTCTGTACGCAGCCTTAGTTTTTAAACACTTCATTTGCTGTGCCGACAAAGGGGTATATAAACTAAGGACCAAGAGATTGTTTTAGTTTAACTTTTAATAAAGGTACATTGCATTGAGGACCAACGTAGGTTATTGTTTTTTAAAGACATAGGTATATAAATAGAGGACCAGCACACGAAGAAAAGTATATTTGTGTTTTAATTTTAGATATAATTAAGAATCCGTACAAAATACGGGCCAAACGATGTGTAACAAAAAAATTAAATTTAATAGATATAAAATAAGTTTTAAGGCTTAGTTTGTTTGTTTAAGACCTTATAATAAATTATTATTTAAATTAATAAATTAATATTAGAAATATAACGATATTATCAGCATCGTCATCACAGAAAGTTAATAATAAATGTTGAATAATTTCTTTAAATACCTAACATTTAAAAGACATTACTGTTATCTCGGAATTCTTTAGTTCTCAATTTACATGCCCACTATTTAAGCCTTTAACCGGCTGCACAACATAGTATATATGAAGTACATAGTAGGTATGAAGTGTCCTCCAAACAATGGCAACCGTGTTGGAAGACACATCGATATCTTTACTGACGAAAATTGAAGGAATATACGGAGGTCACTAAGTATTTTAAATGGGAAATAAGGTTTTTATTTTTTTTTTTGGAATTGTTTTCCCCTCTCTCTGAAATAATACAACTGATATTTTTCTTATTCCATATATCTATATTTCATTACAATCAAATAAAGGGGTAAGGTGGAGGTCAGGTCGCCTTGTCTACATACCGGAGGTAACAACGTATTGCGTATCAATATATATATATATATATATATATATATATATATATATATATATATATATATATATATATATATAGCAGACTCGTGATTATCCAAGTTTAGGTTATCCGAGCCCCTGGGTAAACGAGGCAAAAGTCGTTGGTGAGTCACGAACAGTTATTAGGTCGCGCTGTTAGGTCGAGCTGAAATTTTTAGAAATTGGGCACCTCCATATTTCCAGAAATTTCTGAGTAACGTTTTGTCTAAAATTATTGATTCTATGTTAATCAGTGTGAGTTTAGCTACCGTTTCGTTTGCTGTGATTGTAAGATTAAGTTACTGTAATGTAAAATTGTTCCTTTCGATTATATTCGAGTTTATTAGTTTCAGTTTCATAATTAATTTTTTATTGGAGATTGGAAGCATGAAGTGTGAGTAGTGGGAGTGGATTGGCGCGGAAGAAAATAAAGATAGGAGACCATGAACAATCTTTTGAGGGATTTCTCTTGTGGTTTTCATAAATGAGAGGATTGGGCAGCTCGATAAGTATACTAAAAAGCAAAAGCTATTGAATTGAAGTTTATTGATAGAGGAGAAAACTTTTGTGTTAGTGAGGAATGGAAGAGAAATATGGCAAAATAAGGACATTATCCTTGATTTACTGACTTCAAACCAAATATTTAACTGTGATGAGACAGGCCTTAATTTTAAAATGTTCTCTTCGAAAACACTGGCTGTTAAAAATGAAGGAACTGCACCAGGTTACAAAAAAAGCAAAGAGAGAGTCACAATCATGATCTGCAACAATACTTCTGGTTCATTAGAATTAAGACCCTTTTAATAAAAAAAATCCAAAAATCTAAGAGCAATCAAAAATATCCAAGTGGATTGTTTACCTACAACCTATAAAAATCAACGCAATGCATGGATGGACTATAACATTTTAAGAACTGGTTTTTTTAATGACTTTATAGCAGCCATTGATGTCTACCTAAAAAATAAAAATCTGCCTCTGAAAGCTCTATTGTTGTTGGACAACGCACGATCCTACCCAGACGTGAGTGAATTGATTAGGGGTGACATAAGAGCTGTGTTCCTTCCACCCAATGTGACGTTTCTCATCCAACCCTTAGACCAACGCGTTGTAGAAGCAATGATGAGCATTTATCGGCGGAGGCGTCCTCTCTCTCTCTTTCTCTCTCTCTCTCTCTCCCTCTCTCTCCCCCCCTCTCTCTTTCTCTCGTCGTTTTCTGATTACTGAGGATCGTGATTTCTTTAAATATTCCTATCAATTTTTCTCCATTGGTCTCTATATTCAGCTGCTCTGAGAGCGTCGCAGAATGAGTTTCCAGCTGAATTTTTAATTTGATCGAATCATCTAGATCGTAATCTCCTATTGATATTCTCCCTGAAACAATTAATCTCTCCGAACTATCATCACCTCTGCGAACCAAGTGATCGAAAAATTGCAGAATACGTTGCAGGCATATTGTAGACACTCTTTTTTAATCTCAAGTTGGTTTAGAATAGAAACGTTTGTCCTATGAGCTGTCCAAGGTATGCGCAGCATCCTTCTCCAGCACCACATCTCAAAGGCGTCCAATTTTTGGTGCTCGCGTCTGCGAAGTCTCTGCCACGTATCGAAATATTGAGAATACAAGGGCATTCACCAGTCCTATCTTTATATTTTGAGAGATAGATTTGTCTTTCCAAACTTTAATTAGGCGACTCATCGCATTTTTTGTTTTTTTGCCATACCAATACTTTTCCAAACTTCGGCTTCACAGTTACGACCGTTTATTATACGAGACCCGAGATAAACAAAACTGTCCACTATCTGGTATTCGTATAACACGTTAGTCAGTTGAATAGTTAGGAATCTGTCAACTACCATTGTTTTTGTCTTAGCTTTATTGATTTTCAGACCAACTTTATTGCTTTCGTACTCAACTCTTCGCAGGAGATTCTCATTTCTCGCTCATTTGCTGTTATGCAAGTGTAGTGTCATCAGCAAATCTTAACTTGGAGATTTTCATACCAACCACTGTTACTCCACCGGTTCATCCATCTAAAACCATCCTCATGACTGTTCACCATAAATGATAAATAAGTCAGGTGACAACACGCATCCTTGTCTAACACCTCTCTCGGTCTTGAATTGGTTTGAGAACTTTTGATCTAGTCGTGCTGTTGCTATATGATACAGATTTTTAATAAGTGTCACCAGGTGCATTCGTGTGCCCATTTTTATTAAAATTGACCACATATTTATCCAGCTTACACAATCATATACCTTTTGGTATTCAAAGAAGCATAATATAATCATAGGTATTTAAAATTCTCTAGACTTTTTAATGAGTTGTCTCAGATTCAGGATTTGTTCCTGTGTACCTTTACCATTTACAAACCCCGCTTGTTATAGTAGATAACGCCGTCCTTGTTTCCACGTGTACTGATGATGAAATTCACAATGTAAAAATTGGAAGCATCACCGTTACTAACACCTACAAACCACCGGCTATATCCTGGCCAGCTCAAGTCATCGACACACATCCGCACCCATCAATATATGTGGGGGACTACAACCAGTCACCATGAGCAGTGGAAATATAATCAATGCAATAGCAATAGGAATGCACTAGTAAAATGGGCGGAGGACGAACATCTAAGTACAATCCTGATATATGCTTTGTCTCTACTAATAAAAACGGATAGCCTCTAGTTCCCACACAGCCAACACCGCCCAGTGATCTTAGAGGCAGGAACCCAGATTCCTATAATCACAACCATCCCTCGCCCACGTTGGAATCTAAAGAAAGCCATTTGGGATAGCTTTTCTGCGGAACTAGACAAGACTCTAGGCTGGACACCCCCTACCATCAGAAATTACAAAAGATTCGTTGAAGCCGTAATAAGCACGACTAAAAATTGTATACCAAGAGGCTACCGAAAAGAATACATTCCTGGTTGGTCCCATAATAGCGAAGAACTGTACTAAAATTTCCTTGAAAGCCGCGATCAAGAATTAGCCGATAAACTGCTCCATAGCCTAGATGCAGCGAAACAACAAAAATGGACGGAAACTGTAGAAAGTCTTAATTTTCAAATATCAAGTAGGCAAGCATGGACACTACTAAAAAAATTAGGAAGCGGTACTCCCATAACAAGGAAAAAAACAACAAGTAACCCAAACACTATTGCCTTATATCTGGTATCGACATCTAGGGCCCCGAAAGACAAGCCACACACAATCAAGGTAAAACGAGAGCTTAAAACTTTAAAATTTGAATCTGCAGAAACCGAATACTCTCGCCCCTTCACTTGTGAAGAAGTCATTATAGCTCTAAGCAGGTAAAGCCCCAGGTTTTGACAATATTCATCTCGAATTCTTAATTAACAGCGACAAATATGCGAGAGAATGGATAGCCTACTTTTTCACAGATATGAAGACCGGTACCATACCACAGGAACT